CTCCCTCCCTCCCTTCCTTCTTTCCTGGCTCTGGGTCTTGAACTCAGGGCCTGGAAGCTGTCCCTGAGTTCTTACGCTCAAGGCTAGCGCTCTACCACTTTGAGCCACAGCACTGCTTCTACCACTTACTCTTAAAAGTAATTTTGGTACACATATCTTTCTTTTCAACTGTGTACTTTGGAGAACACCTTGAAGAGAACAGCAAAGAAGGAAATACACTGAATTATGAATTAAGGAATTGATGAGACCTGCCTTTGAAACTTAGTACAGATTTGACTGGTAGGAGCAAACCAGTGTTTGAGCAGGAGTCCTGAAAATCCCTGTATTGCCTATATAGAAAGACTCGCTCGAGCTTCATGCGGACGATTATGTAATAGCTATTGGGAGACATTTGCCTTAAAACATAGTTGAGGTGTTAGTGGTTAATTATTGTAATTTTCACAAGGGGTAAGGAGCTTTTATAGCAGCCAGCTTAATAAAAAGCCTGCAGTGCATAAAATTAACATCACTTGCTGTGTACACTGAAAAGTTTAGCTTAGGTGAATCCACTGCAGTTAATACAAATACAGAGAAGGTTCTAGCCTGTGCTGTTACAGGACTAAACTCATGCTATTACTCCCCCTCCCTCCTTTTCTTTCTTCCTCCCTCCGTTCCTCCTTCTGTTCCTCTCCCTCCTCCTCCCCTCCCCCTCTTCCTCTCTTTCCTATAATTCTTCTAGCTCTTTATCAGATTACCATCCTGCAAAACAGCAGACAAGAAGAGACTGTATGGCTTGAAGAGCCCCAGCATTCTGTCTGCCATTAGCTTGAAACCCATGGAGTGTTTTCTAACTTAGATTAAAAAAAAAGAGATCATAGAAGTAACTTTGTCTGAATATAGACAATTAGAAGACTTGGTTTTATTTTATTCTACCCAGTTTCATTCCCTAATTTACTTCCTCTAGCATATCTTTATATTAAAGATGGATCCTGTACCATATTTAGAGTCACTAAATTTCTGCTCAGGGTTTTTGCTGATGGCAGGCTGTAGCATTTTTTTATATGGATGTTGTTAATCCAGAGAGCTGTGGGTTGTGTTAAAAATCTATTGAAAATGCCAAATATTAATTTATAATCTCTGTGTTCCAAATATGAGTATTTTCTTGCCTTTTCTTACCTTGTAGTCCTGTTTTATTTTTTGTGTTATACGTATGTTACAGAGTTCATGTTCACAAGAATGACAGGGTTTTGTTTTTTTCCTAATAAACTGTGCGATTTTCGTTTGGCCATGAGGGTTGAGTGCTGCTTAGATACTGTCTGGATTGCTACAGGTTCCAGTAGGGTGCACGGCGTATTTTGGGAGATTGACATTGCTTCACATTTTGGGTGCCCCAAAGAATTCCCTTTGCCAGTGGTCCAGTAGACAGACTTCTCTGAAGCTGTTGTATACAGTGGCCAGGAGTATAGCTCTGGTCTCAAGTCTGCTGTATTTCATGTGTGGTGTCTACCCTTCATTTCTGCCAGAGGAAATTCCATGTGTTGCTTCCCTTCGAGGGGTGCTGATAAAGTCTTTCCTGTACATTAGAATTCCTGTTTTCCTTAAGCAACAGCAGAGGATTGGAAGGATCAGGAAAGGAGAGAGGAAACAGGCAAAAAATATATTCAGCAAAGTATCATGAGCTATAACATAGTTCATTCTGCTTTGCATGTCCTTGGAAATAAGTAGTTCTCCCAGGAAAAAAAAAAAAATCACTACTCAGTGATTTAGAAATTCTGTGGTGCTTAAGAGAAAGTCTAGCTAGCTTACTAGATGGCAAGTAGCTCACATCTCTTTCATTTAAAAATTATTTGTGGCTGGGAAGGTGGCTCAGTGGTAGAGTGCTTGCCTCGCAGATGCATGAGGCCTAGGGTTCGATTTCCTCAGCACCACATAAATAGAAAAAGCCGGAAGTGGTGCTGTGGCTCAAGTGGTAGAGCGCTCTCCTTGAGCTGAAGAGCTGAGGGACAGCGCTCAGGCCCAGAGTTTAAGCCCCACGACTGAAAATTCGTGCAAATTATTATTTGCAAATTAAGTGGCGATTGATAATTTATTGGGTATCAATGTAATGATTAATATTGCATCAGTTGGTTACAGGATTAGCTGATGACGTTTTTGGGAGCTCACACAGGTTATCCTAGGGCTGCACACATGAAAAATGTGAAGAGCTGGGCTGGGAAGTTGGTTCAGTGGTAGAGTGCTTGCCTTGCATGCCTGAGGCCCTGGGTTCGATTCCTCAGCACCACATAAGAAAAAAGCCGGAAGTGGTGCTGTAGCTCAAGTGGTAGAGTGCTAGTCTTGAGCTGAAGAGCTGAGGGACAGTGCCCAGGCCCAGAGTTCAGGCCCCATGACCGGACCAAAAAAAAAAAATGTGAAGAGCTGTCCCATATATTCTTCAGCCTGTGGTTTTACTAAGGGAGGTGTTAGTTATATAGATATTAATGTTTTGAAATAGTTAGTATCCAGGAGCCTTGGGGACCGATTGGTGGGGAATGTGCCTTGATTAAGGTGTATCAGAAGTTTAAAAGATACTTTCAATATTTTCTTACTTAAAAACTGAACTTTATCGTGTTCTTCATTTGAAGATGGTAAAATGCACCATTTAAGTGCAATATTTCAGTTAGCCTTAGCAGATGTATACACCAAAGCGAGGGTTAATAGAGTTCTGGAGCTCCATTTTGTACCTGTAACTGAAAACAGCACCGTGTAACATGGCGTGCGTGTGTACCTACTTGTGCAAATACTAATAAGTACACGTTTTTGTCTCCCTTTGCTCCTCTCCTCTTGGCTCTTCATATACTGCGAAATGGTAACTGTGGGGAAATTCCTTGGCATCCTGGCACCAGAACCCTTCATCTTGGCGAGACCATGATGATGCAACCTCAACCCACTCAGCAGGCACCCCGGGACCCTCCAGTGGGGGCCACGCTTCCCAGAGTGGCGACAACAGCAGTGAGCAAGGTAAAGGGCAAGCATCAACTTGTGCCGAGTAAGGCATGACTCAAATGGCTTGCGTGTTTTGTGGGGTCAGTCCCTCCGCTTCTGGGTAAACAGGAGAAGGACAGGTAAGGACATATATCTGCTGTCATTCAGGAAGACAGTGTTTCTTCTTACTTTACTTAAAGAAAGAATACAATATGCTGTCAGTCTCTAAGTAGGAATTACAATAGTAATTGATTATTTCTGCCAGTTCTTTTACGAATTTGATTACTACCCTCTACTCTGGTGTGTATAAGTACATGGAAGGATGGACCTACTTTATTGCTAAAATTCAGTTCTTTGAATTATAAGTAGAATATTTACTCATAATATCAAGCCACAAGAGTTCTGTGTAATCAATTATGCTCTAAAGGACAAACGATGTGAAAATGTGTTCGTAGATAGATACGGGGGAGATTTTACATGCGGTCGCATCTTGGGATGAGGGGTTTTGAAACTCCTTGGGGAGTGTTCCTTTTTCTTGTCAGCTATCATGGTGACTTGGTCACAATTCCTAATATTTTGAATAACCAGAGGGCAGGAGGAAGCAGCTACAGATGTTAAGGAAGCCTGCTGCAAGTTGGGGTGAATTATTACCATTGAAAGTCTACCTACTGCACAGAGAGCAGTTACATATTGGTGAGGATGCCTCCTCTATGGCTAAAATGATCATTTAAGGGAAGATGCATTATTGAATGTGGGCCAGGAAAGTGTATAGATTTTACTTTTTAATATTTTACATTAGGTGGTGTCTGATCTCATAGGTCAGTTTCATCTCTATTACGACCGTGTTTATGGGCACAGTGTTTAAGTGTTAGACAGGCTTTCACATAGAAGACAGCTTACCAGCTTGTAATGTCATTATGTCTGCCATGTTAAAAGGGCAGTTGGTATAAGGAGAGTGACTTTCCTCACAGTTTGCGGCCAGGGATTTGAGGTGGGCAGATTTCCAGGAGAGACTAGGAAGATGCGCTTTCACTGACCACCTCAAGAGCCCGGGGAAGCAAGCTGAGGCTGACACAGGGGTGTGAAGTCTGATGTGGCTGTAGAAGGACTTGCTTGTTGTTTTTATTGGGGGTTCGCATACTGCTTTTATTGCATCCATCCGTTACAAACAAAACTAAACTATGAGACACTGTGAAGGTAACTTGCACATAGATTCTGTGCACTGTGTACAGTGCACACACTTAACTGTGGATTCCTTGGTGTGTTTAAACCCAGAAGGCTTTGTATTGTTCCACGCCTCCTCCCTGCCCCCAAAAGGGACAAAAGGGTGAAATGTATCTATTAATAAAAACAAAACACCCTACACATAGTACAAAAGAGGAGAGAGGAGAGGCGGACTTCCTGGCCTAATGAGGCCTTCTTCCAGAGGCTTCTTGTGTGTGAGGCTGTCTCTGGCCTTTCACTTGCTCAGGAGCCCAGCTTCATTTTTCACATTCTTGCAATTACGTTAACGCTTCAAGCATTTCTGACTCCAAGTCAGCGAGCAACACCGGGCATAACTCAACACTGTGAGTTTTGCTCCTCTCTGTAGATTCATTAACAGGTCACCAAGGTCCCAACTGAAATTTAAAACTGACGGGTTCTGTTGGGTAGGCTGAGTTATGGCAAGGGGAGCCAGAGAGGAGAGGGACAGACACCGAAGCCTCCGCTCCTAACCCCGGCGAGCAAAGTGTGGATGGCTACCCCAGCGAGCAAAGTGTGAAGTTTTATCGTTTTTGTTACTTAGTTGTTTTTTTATTTATTTTTTGTTTTTTTTTTGCTGGTGTGGGGCAGTGAGTTCAAGGAAGCAAAGAGCTGTGAGACTCAGATAGAAGCAGGGCACCGGCCCTCAGCGTGGGGGAGCGCAACCGCTTATCCCCATGTGGGAGGATTGGATCCCTAAAGGATTTTATTCCTCTAATCATATCTCTGTGGGATTACAGATGGACACGGTAGCTTTTGTGCACAGGCACTAGGAAGTCAGTCTTTTCACCACGTTAAAGCTTGAGAGAGACAACGTAGGCTTCCTGTGAAGGGAAGAGCGTTTGGGAAGTGCCCTCCCTGGTTTACCACATGTTTTGGTTAAGACATGGATAAGGATACTCTTGGTATTTTCACAGCAGAATACAATCTGAAGACTAGACTTGGGTGGTATATTTTGTCATACTCCTGCTCCTCTTGGTCTCTTAAACATCTTTTCAAGATATTTTGACATTTCGTCCCACTGGATTGTCCAGAGTAGCTTTCCGTAGGAAAGATGAATTATCTGCTGCAGGGCAAAGTCAACAGCGACATTGACTGAAATCACGTATGCTTATCACAGGCTAAAGCTCAGGGTTGGTGCAGAATGGAAAACCTAGGAAGGAAATACTATGTTCTTTGTATTAAGTAGATTATAATGTTTCACTGAAAATTACGTTTGCAGTCTAGTAAAGAGTTTTTCTGCTTATTCAGAGTTTATTAGCACAACAGGCATATGGAAAACTGTAAAATGATTCATTTTCAAAACAAATTATGATAAACAGAAAAAGCAGGGATGAATTGTACTAAATACAATGTTTTCATACACATTTTAAATTAAATTTTAATAGCCATATGCTATAAAACAATACATGCATTTATGTTGCTTTATGATTTTTGAGGGTATTTTCACAATAATGATTCATACAAATCTTTACCTAAAAACACCTTGTTTTTATGATCTGATAGGGAAAGAAACACAGTTTCACAGGTGAAAGGTCATCTTTTCCTCCTAAGGCAAAGATGCCAGAAACCGAAAGGAGGAAAATAAAAATAAATTAATTAAAATAGTGTAAGAAATAAACTTTCTGGAATGTAGACCCTGACTTTGCTACATCTCTCCAGTAGCACATTCTTCCTAGTGAATGATGTAAATATGAACCAGACGTTTCATTCACTTGCTTTCTGCTGGTAAAAGCAGCCAGGGGGAGGACGTTTGTCCTGTTGGCCACAGGAATGAGGAAGGAAAGCTGGTTTTTCAAGGCTAGAATTTGGGTTGGGATTCTGGGGAAGTCACCGGCACTCTTTGTGTCTGCTTTCCCATCAGAAAGTGAGGCTTGACAGGAAGGCGGGGACTCAGCCACAAGCTGCTCTGCCTCTCAGTGTGTAGTTTTGCCAGACTGAAGACTAGGAAGCGGCCGCCTTGTTTCTAGAGCACCCTGAGAGGCTTACATGAAAGGCACCGTGTATGTACAAAGTATTATTATTATTGATGGGTGTGTGTAACTCCCATTACTGCTGATGGGAGTTACGCATGTGAATTGGCAGGAGAATATCCCCCTCAGTGTGCAGAGCACATGAAATTTACATTTTTTGCAGTGCTGTAATTGAGATGTTGACAAATTGGAGGATATTGATGAGCCTTTGTTTTAAGTATTTCGTGCCAAGTTTGTTTTATTTTTTCTGGTTTGAACAATGGTATGGGTTCAGCAGCAATGAATAAAAAGGGTAGACTAAAGATAACTTTGTATTTCAATATTTTGATGTGCCAATATGAAATAAATTGTCTTAGGCAAATGGAATATGCTGTTTTAATCATTAGCTATGCATGAAAGAAAAATTGATGTTGACATCTTTGCTGTAGAATCGTTGTAATGGGGCCTTCCTTACAATTCATTTTTGTAAAATTCATTTTGTACATTTTGCAGCAACTGAACAATCCCTGCACTGTGAATAGGCAGGCTTCCCAGAAATACCGAGACAGTTGGCCCAGTAACTGCTGAGCTCACACTGCACACCCCACACACGTTAACCATACTGTTGCCAGACCCAGCTCAGCTTCAGTATAGACACAGTCCACCCCCCGGCCGCGTGGCCGCCGTGCCTCCCTTCTCAGTCCCCCAGCCCTCCACTGAGGGCTCTGTCGTCTCCTACCCGGCCAGTCAGGCTAGGACTCCACGGACGGATTTCATGTAGTTCTAGATTTCATACAGTTCTGCAGCAGTCATGGGGTCAGAACCCACGAATTCTCCTCTAGGAGTGAATGCAAGTTCCTGTATGCAAGGCATACAGGACCCCTAAGACAGTAGTAGTACTACACTTTTGAGTTGGTAACGCCTGTTACAGTGTTAAATAGTGTTTCCCTCATCAAGATATCTTACTTAAATATTGAAAAGCAGGGTGAGGAATACCTCAAATCCACTTTCTGTGGGTCCTGGCTGTGTTCTTCTGGGATTTCTTCCTCAGTCTAGGGAAAGTCTTGTCAATGCAAGTGGTGGCAATCTCTTTAAAATAACCCTAAATACAATGTGACAGGTGCCAGCTGGCATAATCTTTTGCTAGCTGCTTTTAACTTTTATTTTTCCTAGAGCTAAGTTCATCCCAAACTGGTCATTTACTGTTATGATAAATACAATGACATTTCTTTTTCTTCCTATCCTCCTAATTGTATCAAAATTTTTTCTGACACTATAATTGATCATGGAACATGACCACAGAAGAGGCTGCTGTATACAGAATATTAATAATGCATTTTCTTTCTCTTCCCCTCCAATAAAATAAAAAAAAACTATCCTTCAATCATCAGAAAACACTCAAATAATTTTCTGTTGCTTTCTTCTGAACTTACTAGAGTAGTAACCATTAGAAATAAAATTAAACCCTTCTAATAAATGAATGGTCTAGGAACATGTAATGGTGCCCATAAATGCTTAAAAGCTTTCTATAATTGCTGTTAATTTTGAGTAATTTCTTCCTATATGTATCAACTTACTTTAGAGACCAGAGTTGGGATTTCTAGATTTTTTTTTTAACTTAGTCATGTAAAGGGTTGTCTCCTGATGGCAGTTAGAGTTTAATTTAGAGTAGTAATTAAACTTGAATACTGCCTCATGAACAAAAGATAAACAATAAACCAGCCTCGTCCCCTGCTGTTTCATAGCTTTCTTTCACAGATGTTTTAGCCTGATTTCTACACAGTGAACTACCTAACATGGAGTTTTGTGGACAGAGGTTGAAATGAGTCCTTTTTCTCCTCC